AGTTGGAAGGGACCCTGTAGGTCATCTAGTCCAACCCCCTGCCCAAGCAGGAGACCCTACACCATTTCTGACAGATGGGAGTTCAGTCTCTTCTCGAAAGCCTCCAGTATTGGAGCACCCACAACTTCCGAAGGCAACTTCTGTTCCATGGGTTCCCTTGGTCATCATCCAAACAACATGTTGATGCCCACGGGTGTGTGTGTGTGTGTGTGTGTGTGTGTGTGTGTGTGTTTAAAGAGACCCTCTCTGTCCCCTCTCTCACCCAGAGTTCCCTGCAGCCAAGGCCGGGAAACCCTTCTCGGAAAGCAGCCCTGGACGCCATAGAAAAAGCCAAAAAAAAACAAAAAAAAGGGGGAGAGATGAAAAAAAAGGCTGGCCCAGTTGGGGAAAGGGTCCCGAATGCCTTGCAGAAGGGAATTCCACCCCCCCTCCGCCCCCTCCTCCTGAACCCGGGGATCCTTTCTGGGCTCGGAGCTGCTGCTGTGTGTGTGTGTGTGTGTGTGTCTGTGTCAAAAAAGGGCATGATGGCAGCTTCTCCCAAATAAGTGGACCCCCAAATATCCGGCGTCCCCTTCCAGCTCAGAATGAGACCACTCCACTGCGGCCGCCTCTCCACGGCCAACTCGCCAAGGGACAGTTTAACTATTCAAACGACTTAAAATGAAGCCAGAAAATCTTGGAATTGTGGCGGTTCTCTCCCATTGGGTTCCCCTCCCTCCCTCCCTCCCTCCCTCGGCCTCCGTCCTTTTGACCAGTCCGTTCCACCCTTTCTTCGCGTCACTCTTGCCCCGTGGAGAGCCAGGCCGTGGCCAGGGGGCCGTGGCCGGTGGTCCTAGACGCCCCCACCCCCCACCCTTGCAGACCTGGTGCCCAGCCGGCGCGTCCTCAGGCCCATGAAGACGGAGCGGATCAGCTTCCCGAAGGAGGCGGCGTTGACCGGGTCCAGCTTGTGCTCCTGGCAGTGGCGCAGGTAATGGTTGTAGAGGGAGCTGCGGGGCAGGCTGACCCCTTCCGCCGTTTCGTAGTTGTCCAGCAGCCACTGCAGCTGCTTGGAGGAAGGGGAGATGAGGCAAGGGTGAGAGGAGAGAAGGAGAGGAGGAGAGAAGAAGAGAGGAGAGAAAGAGAGGAAAAGAAAGAAGGGAAGGGAAGAGAAGAAAAGAAAAGGTAAGAGAACAGAAGAGAAGAGAAAAGAGAAGAGAACGGAAGGGAACAGAAGAGAAGGGAAGGAAAGAGAAAAGAAAAAACAAGAAAAGAGAGAAGGGAAGTGAAGAGAGGAAAAGGGAGGGGAACAGAAGAGAAGGGAAGGGAAGGGAAGGGAAGAGAAAGAGAAAAGAAAAAAGGAGAAAAGGGAGAAGGGAAGAAAAGGGAACAGAAGAGAAGGA